GACTGACTGACTGACTGACTGACTGACTGACTGACTGACTGACTGACTGACTGACAGACAGACAGACAGATAGACAGACATATGGGGGGTGGCAGGTGGTTACCTCAGTCTGAGAGTCTGTGTGATGCTAACTGGAACTCATGTGAATTTAAAGATCAAATACCAGAAACCAGAAAACTACACAAAAATAGATTCTATGTGAGTTTATTTCTTAAAGTTCATTGGTCCATCCGTTTGAAATCGTATTACTGAAAAGTCCTCCATGATCATCGGTATATCTGATTTTGCTACAGGTATGTGGAGATTATTAAAAGCTTGCTGAAACCTGGGGGTCGCTGTCTACTGGAAGTCGTGGACTTTGATGTCAACAACAAGGAGGGTGAGAGGGAGGATATAAAAAAAATATTATGTTATATTGATATGGATATGGCTGAAAATCAAAGGGGTCCAACTCAAGGCCAACTAAACGGGCCATATTGGCCCGGCGAATTATTAAATTTGGCCTCGAGAAAATTTTAGTAGGTCCATTCTAATAAATTGGCATTATAAGTGAGAAAATTGAATGCCTTTCATTGATATAATGCTATCATCTTAACCATTGTCTGCTTCAGTTCCTACCATTGTTCAATTATCCATTTTGGCCTGTGACCTTATATTATGTTAGTTGCGTTTGTCCCCCATGAACTATTGAGTGTGAAACCCACGCTGTAAAGAAATGATGTTTATGGTACAAATTTTTTCGTCCCAAAAGACACTATCAGGTGTGTGAGGTGGGGTTGTTTATTTTTCTCTCTCCAAGTGGCAGATCTGAAACAGACTTTCTCCACTTTGCGGTTGAGATTACAAATTGGACTTTCTGCTTTTCTTTTCAACTAAAAAGTACATGATGTTACAATGCAATCTGTTTTCTTTACTTTAAAAGTATCCAGTGAGTTCACTTTCAGTCACCATGCTATCTAGAACAATTTGAAGTTCTTTTTTTGAATCTACAATTAAAACTGTATCAATAACACAGTCTGGACTTTCTTCTGTATTTCCAAATGTTGTTCCACTGTTATTAACTAAAAAAGATATTTGGGGACATAAGAAAAGCTTAATTAATTCCTCTTTTAATCTTTTCATATGTTCGCTATGCTCCAAGCCTCTGTCAAATCGAACAGAAGCATTTCCAATAAATCTTTCCGTGCAACAATATATCTTTGCGCTAACATTTTGCGTCATGGACGGAAGTTCTGTTTTCAAATCTGAGTGGAATTTGAATCATATTAATAATTCATTTCATCTTTGTTTGAATATTTTGTTCCATAATAGCCTTCTATCTCTAAAGAAAAACTGCGCTTGACATTTGAAAGTATTTGAAATTACTGGACTTAATCAAGTAACAGGACCCCCCCCCCCCCCCCCCACACACATACACACTTAGATATAGGACCACATTTTGGAGAAAAAAATATCAAAACACAATATGTATAGTATATATTATAGGCTACGTAATACAATGTATATTGCTTCTGTACCATGATTCTATTCTCAGATGCAGCTCATAGCATACCTCGGCCACCACCACCACACCCCATGTATGAACCAGAGCTCCAACAGTTGTATGGTAAAAACAATTTAAAGTTTTCATATTGAGAAGAAATAAATAAACTGGGGGTTGGTTTTTTTTTTGCACTCTTCACAATGATTATTTTCTTCCCCCACCCCCCCCCCCCCCCCCCCCCCCCACCCCGCCCCCTCGCAAAAAAACCAACTTCGTTCGCAGCGTATTTCGGGGCATCTCTGAAGTAGAAGTATGAAGAGTGGTGGAGGTTAGATCTAAATGTGAGAAGGGCTTAATCATTACACATTTTTCTTTGTTCAGCCACTCATACAAAGAATACTCCACAAATATAATACTGATCTATTTATTGCTTTCCCGAAACACTTTACACTGTCTGGCATACCTTCTAACGTGCCTCATTATGTGGGCCTACAACATTTCAAATTTATTTATTTATTTATCTTTAATTAACACCAACTATTTTCGTTTCTTTTTTTTTTATCTTAGAACCAGAATGCACTCTGAAATATCTGGACAAATATGAAAGGATCCCATCTGGGTATCAACGGCTGTTTTTGATAACCAAGCAGCTGGGCTAATTACCAGGCGCCGTCTTAGCGTATATTATTATCATAGGTCGTATACCCTAGGGAGTGGTCCGTGGGCCCTAGGAGCACAGGGGTCCCTTGCTGGTCAACGCATGTTCTCTAATTTGCTTTTCAATAAATAAACGCTATAGTGCTTTATATTTCTCTGTGTTATATTACAATAAACCGTGTATTTATAGAGTGTGTGTATGTGAATGTTTGATTGATTGTTAGTTTGTTTATGTGTGTGTATGTGTGTGTGTGTGTGTGTGTGTGTGTGTGTGTGTGTGTGTGTGTGTGTGTGTGTGTGTGTGTGTGTGTGTGTGAGTGTATGTGTGTGAGTGTATGTGTGTAAGTGGCAAAAATTGACCAAAGAATTATATTCAATTCAACCAATTTTATTGGTAAGGCGTAAAAAGTGCAGACCATTCATTGTGCAAACATTACGTCATGCGTCTATTTTTGTCTCATGTCACTGTTTAAATAAAACGGGTTTTGGTTTTTGGTTTTAAATTACATAATATGTTACGTTTATTATGTATAAGTGTCTCCTGTCTGTCCATGTGAGAATTCAGAGGAATTATTCCAAATAGAAGTGTAAAACCTTGACTATTACGATAGGCTTTATCGGTTGTAGGTCTTTTATTTAGATCTAGTAAGCGTTTTACGACACTTGCCACACAGCGAGGTCTTATAAATGCCAATGATTGAGATGCTACAAGAGAGTAACAAGCACTAAACAGAAGAAGGAGAGAATAGACGACATACGTTTGATAGGAAAGAGAAAATTAGACCAGTGCACCTGCCAATCACCCGTTACCTGTGTTGTAGGTCTATCTATTAAGTATTGATGAGTAAGAAAAAGTGAATATAACTGTTCATCTCGCCTCCATCTTTTCCAACTCTGAAACAAATTCTTCATGGTGGATGGTTGGCGAGTGTTCTGGTGTGGTTTGCTCCTTTTTTCCTCATCTTTTCTCTTTCTATATTTTGTTCATTACTTGTAGCATACACCTCGAATCCTTGGCATTTATAATATTATTATGACCTAATTGTGTTGGAAAAGGCGTAAAACTCTTACCGAAACATATTACAAATAATGTTTCTTATTGAATAATAGAGATATTAAACATGTTAGCAAATGACATACATGGACACCGTATAAGCCGTGTGCGTGTTGAGAAAAAAATGCAACCATGGATTAAAGCATTTTTACAAACCAAAAATGAAATAAAAGTTTCGGTTATTCCATAATTTGTTGTTTGATTTTCAAGTTTTGTTCGTACGTTGATCTTGGTTTACACTATATCACTCATCATAATCATAGTGTTATTGTTTTACTTAGCAAGTTTGGAAGAGTTATATATTATTCTCTCATCTAATCTTCTCCTCGTCCATAATTTGACACAACGTTTTAGTGGGTCGTCACTGTGGTTGTGTTCTGGAAACAAGACACAGTGACCCTATAAAAATTCCCAACAAAAACAAACAGACAAACAGGCTGCTTGTGACCAGAATCTTGCGTTTGAAATGTTATCTGCTGTGAAGTGATGTTGTGTCATGTATCTCGGGAATGCCCAAAAATGATTTTGTATACGGTTATCAATGAACTTAAAATTGTGATAAATGAATGTCCTCAATGTCATCAATAAAAGTTGTGTTTCGGGTTTTTTGTTGTCGTTGTAGTTGTTTGTTGTTTGTTGTTGCTGTTGTTGTTGTGTGTGTGTGTGTGGTAGCCTATCCGTTCGAAATGTTCGGAGCCCCGAAGAGTGTGCTATTCGCCAGGGCCACCGCCTCCCTTGGGTAGCGGGTGAAGCAGTCCAACCTCCCTGAACCCCCCCCCCCCCCGAAGAGATGCCACCGCCGGGCCTCCGTGGCGGGGCATCTCTGCAGCCAGTGCTCCAAATCTTGGGGCTCCTCGCTGCACAATGGACATATTGGGTCCGATGTTTTGTCTATTCTATTTTTGTAGGCCCGAAGCCCAGAGAAATGACCGGTCCTGATTTTTGCCAGTACTGACTGGTCACTGCGGGACATAATAAGAGCCTCTCGTTTTAAAGAAAATGCCCTGTATACTTCCTTCGTCCTCGTGTGGCATATAGGGGGGTCTTTTGTAATTAGTTTTATCTGGGCGCACGCACTGTCATAAGTAATTTGGCGGCCTGGACCCGGCAGCGCTGTTGCCAGTTTGGCATTACTGTCAGCGAGATCGTTGCCGAGGATATCGCGGTGACCAGGGATCCACTGAATCGTGGGTTGAGGTATTGCATTATTTATGCGTAGTCGCAATTGGTCGAAGGATGGTGATGTTCCCACTAGTGCCATGCATAGTGATTGACTGTCGGTGAAGATAGCGACCGAGTTGGATGCATCGCACTCTTTGTCAATCCAGTCAATGGCCATTTCCAAGGCTCTCCTTTCTTCCTCGAAAGAGCACGTAAATATGGCGCCTTTCTCCCTCAATGTCTCGACAACGGTAGGGTTGGACGGGTTCCCCGTTGTGATGACGACTCCAGCGCCGCCGTCCGTTGTTCCTGCCCTAGCCGAGCCGTCAGTGTAGATATTGTACTGTGCGCCAAGCTGTCGTGCTCGACGAACAGCAGCGCTTTGAATCTTCCCACTGGAGTCACTCCTTCCGCTTATGCCGTACAGGTGGGGAAAAGTGATGTCGGGGTTGATTCCACGTTCCCAGGGCCTGGTTTCGAAGTAAGTGATGGGCCTCCTCTCGCAGTCGAACAGATGTGGGCTCTTTTTGCTGACGTCTTCGGCCCTTTTTCGGAAATCCCTGCGTCCTTTTAGGCGTCTGTGCACTTGTTCCGTTGCCGCAATTCGTCGAGGGTGGTCGTTGTTCAGTCGGAGGGCCTTCTCTCTTGATCGGAGACAGTTAGCATTTATGGTGGACTGAATGCTTGGGACCCCCGTTTCAGCTCGAAGTGCCTCGATCGGTGAGGACTGGGCCTGGGTGGTAATCAGTCGCAGACATCTGTTTTGAATCACCTCCAGATTATTTATCAGAGTTTTGCTCAGCCACGGTTGCCAGCTGCTGCTCGCAAAGTTGAGAACACTTTGTATATGAGTGAGGTAGACCTTGCGTAGGTCGTCTTTCCTCCATCCCCATTTTGAGTGCACTACAGCGCCGAGCATCCTCATCTTCTGTGTGGCCTTAGCTATTACTGTCTCAACCTGTTTCCTGAACGTGAGCCTGCGGTCGAGTGTGACTCCCAGGAGTCTTGCGTAGGGCTCATACCTAATTGACGAATTATTTATCGTGATGCACGGCTTCCATTCCGAGTCAGATGTTGCGAGCGTGAAGAATGTTGTCTCGCTCTTTGAGCCGTTTAGCGTGAGTTTCCATCGCCTGCTCCAGTCAGCAACGATGTCCACCGCTCTTTGTGCCAGACTTTCGGCGTCTCGTGTCGTGCGTGATGAAGCGAGGATAGAGACGTCGTCAGCGTAGAGTGAAATTGTGAGATCGTCCGGAAGTAGTTTCGCCAGTTCGTCGATATAAAAAAGGAAGAGGATGGGTGCCAGGACCGAACCTTGTGGGAGACCTTGGTTCATTTTCCTGCTATTACTCAGTATTCCATTGAATCGGACTCTGGCTTGACGATTTTGAAGGAAGTCATTCAGCCATAAAACGTATGTATCTGGGATACCTCTGTCCAGGAGGGTGAGGAGTAGGCGTTCTCGCCAGACCGTGTCGTATGCCTTTGAAAAATCGAGGAGGACGAGTACCGATTTCTCCTTCTTTTGGAAGCCATCGGAAATCTTCTGCGTAATTCTCAGAATTTGGTCTTCCACACATCTCCCCTTCCTGAATCCAGCCTGCAGTTCGGAGAACCAGCCGTTCCGCTCGGCCATGTCGTACAGTCGTTCAGATACCATTCTCTCCATAACTTTGATGACACAGGATGTGAGGCTTATCGGTCTAAACGACGTTAGTTCCGATGCTGGTTTGGCGGTCTTGAGGAGGGGGACAATGATGGCGTCTTTCCAGACTTGTGGGACATCAGCTGAGCGAAATGACATGTTGAAGATGGAGAGCAGTTTCTTCAGCGCCTTGGGACCCAGGTTTTTGAGGAAGGACGGGGGGATGTTGTCTGGTCCGGGTGATCCGCGGGACTTCATCTTTGCAATGGCATTCCTCAGTTCCCCGATAGTGAAATCGGGCTGGTCTGCCCTTGGGTTGTTCCGTAAGTATTTCAGTCGCTGTTTGAGTTGCCAGTTTTCGGCTCTGTCTTCTTTCGACATGTTTAGACTGCAGACGTTCGAGTAGTGGTCTGCGAATATGTCCGCCTTATGCTTGCTTGATGTCACCAATCGCCCATTGTGTGACATTGCTTCATTTGGCGAGTTTGTCTCAGGGGTACCGTTGAGGCTTTTTATGATTTTCCACATCTTGGTGTCGTCCTGTGAGTTGGTGGTTTTCTCGAGCAGTTTTCGCCAGGCGTCGGTCTTAGCATCGTTGATCGTCTCCTGCGCCACGTGGCACGCCTCTAGCCATTCTTTGCGGCGGGTTCGCACCTCTTTCCGGAGTCTATTTCGCCTCCGGATTGCTCTTCGAACTGTGGGGGTTTCCCATGTCTTTGTGTGCCTGCCTGGTTTCACAGTGCCGACAATACGGGTACCGGCGTCCATCAGGGCAGTGTGGAATTCAGACACCATGTTGCGGATGTGGTTGTTCGACGGCATTCTAGTCACAGTGTCACGTTCAACGGCGTCGGTGAAAGCTTTCCAGTCGACACCGAACGATTTCCAGGTGACTTGACCCTTGAATACTGATCCATGGCTGACCTCAGTGTTAAGGGTCACGGAAATCGGCGCATGGTCAGAGCTGCCAATTCCGTCTACTGGGCACCAGGTGTGCTTCCCGCTCCATGTTGACCCACATATAGAGACATCAGGGGTACTTTTTTCCCTCCGGTTGATGGTAGGGAAGAAGGAGAGGGATTGGGGTTGGGATGGTCGTCATGTCTCGACCTGGTGTTGATACGAGTGTGTCTTCCGTCGTTCATTACCGTCATGTCGCTATCCAGTGTCCAGTTCAGCAGACTCTCCCCTCTTGCATCCGGTGGTTGAAAGGGATCCCAAAGGGGACAGTGGGCATTAAAGTCACCTAGTATGATAGACTCGGGTGTGGTTGGGAGTTCGTCGGTTGCCAAACGTG